AACTAGGAGGATGATCAGACCAGAGCCATTGTAACTAAAGGTAGTTACATATGTAAGGAACTAAAAATTAGAGCTGGTGTAACTAGATGCAACTCCCACAGAAGCCGTAGGGTCAAATTTAGTCAAGGAAGCAAACTATTGTACAAAAGCTACACATTGATGTAATCATAGAATCATAGAATCATAGGACTGGAAGGGACCTCGAGAGGTCATCGAGTCCAGCCCCCCGCCCTCAAGGCAGGACCAAGCTCTGTCTAGACCATCCCTGACAGATGTCTATCTAACCTGTTCTTAAATATCTCCAGAGAGGGAGATTCCACCACCTCCCTTGGCAATTTATTCCAATATTTGACCACCCTGACAGTTAGGAATTTTTTATTTAGGAATAACAGCCTAAATGTCGAATCACAGTTCCGTTGGTGACTCTGATCTCTCTCACTACCAGGTGAGCATACCTTTGTGAGAGACGGTCCCTTCCATCAAGAATCACAACAACATTCAGTTACACCCAGTCCGAAAGCACGAGTCATTTATCCTAGGTCAATTGCACCTTGACAGCAAAGACAATGCTTTGTAGCCACTATGAAGATGTATTAAAAAGGAAAATGAAACGAGTTATTTCTAAATAGTTATTTAAAGCAGGTAAACATATGTACATAATAATGCAAAATAATAAACAAGCTCTATATGACTTGTAGGGTCTGTCTAGGTTATACACTGGGAAGCCTCTTGCTCATGCCTAGTAAATCTTGCCCCCACCCGCCCTGCAAAATCCAAGCAGCATAGAGATACTGTTCTTTCTTGTGCCCACTGAAGTCAATAACAAGTCCATTGTCTCAAGTGGAACATGGTTGGGCCCCAACAGCAGATGGTATATGCCGGTGACATCACTGTACACAAATTAAGCTCCGGTAGAACAGTTTGCTAATATTGCTCTGTGAGGGGTATTCTGCCATGAAGGGCTGTAGTGCCTAGTTGTCAGACTTTCCCACCACCTCGCTTGGCTCTTTAAGGGTTCAAAAGGGTTGAGACCTAAATATCCTGGGAATGAATGGTGACTGGGAAAGGAATCTAGAAGGCTGTACTCCCAAGGGTCCAAAACCTAGCAGAGAAGCCACTGGCAAGACCTGTTGGGAAAGGAATGGGAGAAGGGGAGGAGTGTAAAGACTTTCTTCTCCATCACTGCAGACAGCTTGCTGAACCCTCCACAATGGGAAGCTGAGTGGGAAGTGTATTCAGCTGCTGGGAGCTAACAAAATCTTTGCATCTGATTTCTGTATGTTAAGGGACCTGAAATACAACCCAATTCCCAGAAAGAGGACTGAGGGGGAATTCCTGTCTACAGAGGCAATCTTCTGATTATTTTAAGACAAAGGTCAGAGAACTATTAGCAAGCAGTTCAGTCCAGAAATATTAGTGAGGAATGAATATATCAGGAATGATTGTAATTAGAATATAGTTCAGAGATATGTGGCTATTTTCTAAGGACATTTTGCAAGAACAATTGAAAAGAATCATGTAGATAACTCTCAGAATTAAAAAAAAAAAGCAGCTCATGCAGAACTTACAGGCTATGTTTACACTTGCAGCTTCTTGCGCAAGTACAGCCATTCTTGCGCAAGAATCTGCAGAGCATCCACACTGCCCACCTGCTCTTGCGCAAGGAAATTTACAGTACGGCGTGGTAAGAGAGGGCTCCTTGCGCAAGAGTTACGCTCTTTTTTTATCATGTGTAAGCCCTCTTGCGCAGGGGCTCTTGCGCAAGAGGGCAGTGTGGATGCTTGGCAGGGATTTGTTATGCAAGAAAGTCCTATGGCTAAAATGGCCATCATTGCTTTCTTGCAGAAGAGAGCATCCGCACTGCCATGGGAGCGCTTGCACAAAAGCACAGCGCGCACATGGCAGTGTGGACGTTTTCTTGCACAAGAACCCTTGCGCAAGATGTTCTTGTGCAAGAAACCGCCAGTGGAGACATAGCCACAGTGAAGAAAGATGTTCCCTCAGGACCGAACATTACAGATGATGAGAGCTTCATGAGAAGCATAGGGTAGCATGGACATGACAGAGGTTGGGAGTACTTGAATATCTCCCAACAGCAATTGCACAGGACCGAGCCTTTATTGCTTGTGACCCGAGTAAAAAGAGGGCAGTGTCAGACACAACAAAAAGGACCTGTGTTTGTGAAATTTCCAGCCAAATGATGAAAACTCGAGCCCCAGAACTGCAAGCCATGTGCATAAGGAAGTCCTTTTGGCTTAAAAAATGTGGAAACCATTACTAAAACTTTAAATTTTGGAGTCCTTTTCTATCTTTTTGATTCTGAACTCTGTTGCTTCTGAGATAAGACATGCTTCCACACTTCTCACCAATTCATATCCTATGTATTGAAGCAGTTTTGTGGAAAAGGTTTGTTCTCTTTTGATTGTGGTGTTGAATCCAGAGTACTTTTTGTGTGAGATATCTAGTGCCACTCAGGTAGCTATATCTAAGAGCAAAGTTAATATACTCTAGAGGTGAAATCCTGGCCCCATTGAAATTGACAACAAAACCCCCAATGAGGTCAGGATTTCATCCTAAATCATTATCTTCATTTTAGTAGAAGTGGGCCCCAAGTACAGAGTTTGGATCAGCAATTGGATCCAAGCCTTGCCAAAGTTTGAATCTAATGTCCTACTGATTATTTTGAAATAAGTGTCCTGAACAAAACTAATATTATTAATATAAATGAGAATTAATTCGATCATTAATTCAATAATCTCATATAGAATCGAAAAAGGTGTAGAGATATCTTTGAATGTCAAAGATGTCAGAAAATCCTTTTATAAAGAAAAATTATTTGCAAGATATCACACATTAATAACTATAGTACAGTATTAACATAACTGGTAACAAAAGAAAATATCAAGTTATTTGAGTACACATAGAATGTTGTTGTATTTATGCCTTTTAACTTTCATTTTGGGAAAGACAATGTCATGTGAAAAAAAAAAAGTGTTTTAACCCCACTTTACATTTGTTTGTTACTAAGAAAAAGCAGAAGAATGGAGAACTTGTGACAGATGTTTGTTTAGCCACATATAAATAGTTCACTGAACATATAGATGTTGAATGAAATGTTAAACTGAATGAATCCACATTTAAAAGAACACAAGAAATAATAATGGTCAGTGGTGAATAGTTGTATTCGTACAGGGCTTGATTCTGAAGTTCTTACTCAGATTAGTTGATAAGGACACCTTGACCTTTAAGGGCAAAAACGCTGTGGGGAGCACAGGGCTGGAGGGGACTCAAGCAGTCCCCTGCTGTCCCCATGCTTCCCATGGCATTTCAATGCAGCAGTGCCGCATGGAGCCCGGGATCAGTCGGGGACTCTGAGTCCTCAGCTGACCCTGGGCTTCATGCACCACAGCCACTTTGAAATGCTGTGTGCAGCCGGGACTTTCAAGGCAGCAGTGACACGTGAAGCCTACGGTCTAGCCCCGGGCTCCATGTTGCTTTGAAGCATCCCCTCTGTTTCCCCCCTCCTTGCTAGAGGAGCACATGGGGGTGGGGAGGAAGGAGTGACTAATCGACTAGTGTGTTGACTATCCGAAAAGCATTTGCTTATCTGATAGTCAACTAGTGGCTCATATCTTTATGAGAGACAATGCTTGCTGTGATGCTACTGAGACCACAGTTGCTGAATCAATAGAGCAGTGGTCCCCAACCTTTCGGGGCTGCTGGGTGCCTGGGGGCGGAGCCACTCATGTGCTGCACGTCTGGGGGCGGGGCCACCCATGCACTGTGCATCCGGTGCAGGGGCTGCCATGTGTCGCGTGCCCGGGGTTAGCATCGCGTGTGCCCAGATTATTCCGCAGGCACACATAAATGCCCCAGCGGGCGCCATGGCACCCACAGGCACTACGTTGGGGACCACTGCAATAGAGTCTACCTCTTTTCAAGATTTCAGCCAATTACGAACAACCAACACAGATAGTTTATATCTAAGTAAGTTTTTTGCATTTGATGCTCAGATTTTTCCTAATTTAGGTTAATCTCTTATAAAGCTAATACCTGACTCTGTGTGATTGAAGCATGGTAGTCACTTGTTTTCACAGTGCATACTTGTGTTTCACCAACCAGCTCCACTCTAGTTATAGAGAAACAACTTTGTGAATACGAACGCGTGATTATAAAGAACTTTGAGAGCACTGAGCAGTGTACAATGAGGTTGACCCAGCAATGTCTGAGAACTCAAAACATACATAGACACTGCATCAGTGAATATGTCATGTGAAAAAATTACAGAATCAGACTCTCTCTTACTATAGCTGATTATTAGCATTATTTATTACAGATCATTATTATTAATTATAAAAATAAACTGTTGTAGTGTCTAGAATTTCTATTAAGACTCAGGGTACAATGGTACTATATGTTACACACACACACACAATGGAAAAGTGGCTCCTCTTCTTAAGGAGTTTAAAATGAGCTGTATGACACGAGACAACAAGTAGATATAACACAGATGGAGGAAGGAAACATAACACTAAAATCATTGTGGTGATTGTGATAAGCACAACACCCTCTCAGTGTAGCCATCGTCTTTTAATATGACCCTCTATCCTATACTTTGTATAACACTGTAACTGAAAGGATGATGTCTTTATGTCATTGGTAACGGGGATTGAACTTCTGTGACCTTGGATCTTAATGCATTAGCCTGCACTGCTTAAGCTAAAAGAGAGAGCTTTGTTAATCCAGGCAGTTAGCAGGCTGGGCAAATCTCTCTGTGTTCCTGCAGATTCAGGGGGACAGAATGCTGTGCTGAATGGGTGTGGATTATAGATGCATACCAGTAAACCAAGATTTTTCCATTGAGGCCAGTTCTTATTGTTTAGACACCTGTATAAGTGGCCAATTTAAGAGATTCTTTAAAAAACAACTTCTTTTTGTTCCCTAGGTTTGTTGACTCTTCAGTTGGCATGGATACCACAGAG